TGCAACCGGGGTCCAAGGAAGAGGCACGAGGGGAACTACTGCACGTTTCTCTCTGTGCTTCCAAGCTCTGAGCAGAGGTCGGTCCGGGGGTTTGAGCTTTAATCGCTGGTCACTGTTGTGCCCTTACAGGGCGCCACGCTCGCCCAAGCTAGACGGGCCAACGCTGGGTGCACGGCCTGTGTCCTGGCCCTGCGGGCACAGCATGGAGGACTTCCGGGAAGGGGTTGCCGGCAGGCTGCGGCTTCCCTCCGGGCTCCCCCACCTCCCCTCCACTCCAAGCCTTTGCTCACCGCCCCTCTGCCCACCACAGCCTTAGTTCTCCATCGCAGGGGGATTCCTATGCATCCTGCAAAACTCTGCTCCAATATCCCCACCACCACCTGCAGAGAGAGTCAAACACAGAGGGAATCGGAGATCCAGAGCTGAATGGAGGGCCAGAGATGGAGAAATGGAGGGACAGCGAGAGAGGCGGGAGAGCCCCAGCCCGGGCCCGTCCATGTGAGATCAGCCCGACTTCCAGCTGGAACAAGGGTCTTGCCTCAGCCCTAAACTCGGAATTGAGGAGGCCAGGGTCCAGGCGGCCTCCTCGGCCTCAGGAGGCGCTGGCCGCCAGAGTGTGGGTTAGAGGCCCCCAGGGTGCGGAGCTGCTTGCTGAGCTCCTGTTGTCACCCCCAGGGAGCCCCAGAGCCGCGGACGGAACCCTTCGATGGTTCTCTGATAGGGACGGAGGCTCAGAGAGGTTAGCCGGGGACTGAGGACACACAGCACACAGAGCTCCCCTCGCGGCTTGCCAGTGTCACCGGTTTGCGCCTTCCTGCCTGCCTTCCTTGCTTCTGCTGTTGTTTTGCTTTGCTTTTTGTTTTGTTTTGTTTTGCTTTTCTGAGACAGGTTCTGGCTCTGTAGCTCAGCGGGCCTTGAACTTGCAGCGACCCTCGATCCGCCCCCGGGATTACTGTGCCCCGCGCCCCTTCCTTCTTTTTCCTGCTGAGAATGGAACCCAGGGCCTCCCACGCGCCGGGCAAGCGCTCACCCCTGACCAGCAAGCACCCCCTGCCTGAGCTTTGCACCGCACTGAATGCCCCCCTTTGTCACGGGTCCAGGAAGCCGGGGCTCTGCTTGTCCTCGCTGGACAGAGGACGCCCAGCTCTGGGGAAGTGACCGGCCCAGGGCCACCCCGCCGGTGCCGCGGGCTGACCCGGCAAGCCCCTCCCAAAGGTCCCCCGGCCCGGCCCGGAGCCCGAGCGAGCCCGCAGGGCCAGGGCCGCTTCCCCTCGGCCTAGCGTCTCCCGCTTCCTTCCCGGCTGCGGGGAGGCCCGGAAGGCGGCACTCGGCGCGTCGGAGAGCGAATGAATGAATGAGCGCGGGCCCGGCCCGCCCCCTTGGGCTCCGCTCGCCTTGCGCAGAAGGCAATCTTCGGATCTTGGGCTGAGCGCGGACGCGGGTTCCAGGGGCGGGAGCAGGGGCGCAGGCCCCGCCCGGCCCCAGCCGACCCGCCGCCCACACGGCCCCGCCCGCCGCTGTAATTTGCCTCGGTACCTTGTGGTCGCGGGGGACAATTACCCCCCAGATGTGCGGTCGGAGCCAGGCAGCCAGAAGACGGGTCAGGGCCCGGGCCCGGCGGAAGGCAGATGTGGGAGGCAGCTTTCAAAAGAAGAGGGAGAGAGAGAGGAAGGAAAGAATCAGACATCTCAGAAAGAGACCGACAGCCGGGCGTGGTGGCGCACGCCTGGAACCCCAGCACTGGGGAGGCTGAGGCAGGAGGATCGCTGTGAGTTCCAGGCCAGACTGAGCTACATGGAGAGTTTACGGCCAGCCTGAATTGCACAGTGTCTCAAAAAAGACCAAAAACAGAAACAAAAGAAAAAAAGAGAAAGAAAGAAGCGAAGCAGAGACTCGGAGATGGGGAGATAGGAGGGCAGAGAGGGGAACGGAGCAGCACTGCTGGAGATGCAGGGAGACATGAGTAGATGGAATGAAAGAGACAGGAGGAAGCTAAGTGTAGCAGCGCATGCCTGTCGCCCCAGAACTCTGGGAGGCTGAGGCAGGAAGATCCCAGAAGATCAAGCCCGGCTTGGGCAACTTCATGACTTAGCAAGACCTTGTCTCAAAATAAAAGATAAAACTGGGGTAAGGATGTAATTCAGCATGAAGGCCCTGGGTTCAGTCCTTAGCACAGGAGAGAGACAGACAGGCAGACAGACATGTTCTCCTATTCAGGAAACAGAGACCCACGGTCCAGCAATGAAACCTGCAGCTGCAGTGGGGTCTGGATCTCTGCGAGGGTCCCCCAGCCCTCCGGGCCCCCAGTACCGACAGCGGATGATCCAGGTCTATAAGTCTCTGTCCACCCTGTCTCAGTAAGGCCAGCTGCAAGCACGAGGTTAGCTCAGGGGGGCCCTCAGCCTCAGGTCCCTCCCAAGCCATCCTCACTTTGTCTGTGTCCAAGGAAGGCAGAACACTTCTCTTTGGACTAAACCTTTTATATAAATGGATTTAAATGCATTTAAGAGGCTGGGCATGGTGGCACACACCTGTAATCCCAGTGCTCAGGAGGCTGAGGCAGGAGGATCGTTGCGAGTTTGAGAGCAGCCAGGGCTACATAATGAGTCCAAGGCCAGCCTGAACTGCATAGCGAGACCCTGTCTCAAAAAGACAAAAAAAATGCATTCAAGGAGACAAATATAATTCATGGTCACTGCAGGCCACTGCCAGTCGGGAGCAGCTGCAGGATAAATACAATAAAAACCTGCTCCCCCTTATCTCCCACTGACCAGACGCTAAGCGCAAAGCCTGTGCCATCTTTGTTAAAAGCAGAAGCAGGAGGGAGGGAGGTGTTAGCTGGGTGTGGTGGCACACCCTTGTCATCCCAGGTATGCAAGAGGCTGCGGCAGTAGGAATGTAAATTCAAGTCCAGCCTGGGCAATTTAGTGAGATCCTGTCTCCAAATAAAAAGGGGGGGGCTGGGGATTTAGCTCAGCGGCACAGCACTTGCCTGGCAAACACGAGGTCGTGAGTTCGATTCCCAGTACTGGAAAAAAACCAACCTAACAAAAATCAAAAACAAAAAGGGCTGGGGTGTAGCTCAGTGGGGAGCACTTCCCTAGCAGGTGTGACAAAATACTAAAATACAGAAAATTAAGTATAAAACAATTATTGCTATTATTATTGTCATAGTGCTGAGACTGGACCCCAGGGTCTTTGCACTCATTAGGCAAGTGCTCACCACGGAGCCCCAGCCCAACCCAAAGAGATTATTCTTGGGGGCAGAAGAGGTTTAAAAAAAAAAAAAGAAAGAAAGGCTCATGGCAGAGCCACCCACAGTAGGAAGAAAGAGTAAGAATCCTAGCACTAAGGAGGCTGAGGCAGGAAGAACACCTCGAGTTCGAGGCCAGCCTGAACTACATAGTGAGACCCTGTCTCAGAAGAAAAAAAAAGGCCCATGGCATATGGGGTAGGAGTGGTGGTGAGAGGTAAGAACCACAGGAGACTCCTCATCTAAACTATACCAGCAGGAGGGGCCTGGGGGACATCTGTAGCAAGTGCTCTAGTTCAGATCTGGTGTCTCATAAAGACCTATGTGTTGAAGATTTTGTTCCCAGCTTAGCCCAATTTGGAGGTAGTAGAACCTTTAAGAGGCGGAGCCTAGTGGGAGGAAGCAAGGTCATTGGGGGTGTGGCCTTGAAGAGGATGTGGGACTCTAGCCCCTCCCTATCTCTCTTTTCTAATTTCAAGGCTGGGTGTAGTAAGTGGTGAGCACTTGCCTAGCACGTGCTAAGGCCCTGGGTTCATCCCCAGCACGGTAAAAAGAGAAAAGAGACACAGCAGCGCTTTGTGTAACTGTTTTGTTTTCTTTTAAATTTAGCTCTGTGTAACTGTTAACAAGCTTATTTTGAAATTTATATGGAAAGGCAGAGGAATAGAAAAAGAAGAACAAAGTTGGGACAAATTTGGATCTGTCTTGGGCATCTAAAATGAACAGACACTTCTCAGATGAAGAAGTAGAAATGGCAAATAAATATATGAAAAAATGTCCAACATCACTGGTCATCCGAGACATGCAAATTAAAACAGTGCTGAGACAGCGGAGATCTTTCCATGGCACCACTTACTGGGGACCCCTGCAGTGAGTCCCCAGTCTCCTGCCAAGTGTCACCGCGCACGCTGGGAAGAAAGAGTAAGAAGCCAAACAGGGGTGCAGCAGGGATCTGGGACGACCAGTTGTTCGTGGGGAGCAAAAAGCCACGAGGTACCCAGAACCTTGGTTTGGTTTTGGTTTTGGTACTGGGGATTGCACTCAGGACCTCACACTTGCCAGGCAGGCGCTGTGTCGCTGAGCTGCGTCCCCACCCCAGAGCCGTGGTGATTATTCATTACGTCTGAGTCAGGGTCAGCGGGTGAAGGGCAGTGAGTGTTTCCAGGAACAGTAATGGTGACTATGGTGGGCCAGGAAGAGGCTTTTTTCTTTTTTATCTTTTTGAGACAGGGTCTCGCTACACAGTTCAGGCTGGCCTGGAACTCACAGTGATCCTCCTGCCTCAGCCTCCTGAGTGCTGGGATTACAGCTGTGAGCCACCACGCCCGGGAACACAGCATTTTTGCAAGGACAAGGACAAGATGCAGGCAATAAGGGGACTGTAGTTTCCCTAAATGCCTTATCTTAGGTCTTATCTTGCCCTGTGAGTGCCACAAACTCGTTCCAATCTGGCTCAAAAGGCAGGACAGGCCGGGCATGGTGGCGCACGCCTGTAATCCCAGCATTTGGGAGGCTGAGGCAGGAGGATCATTGCGAGTTCGAGACCAGCCTGGGCTACAAAGTGAGCTCAAGGCCAGCCTGAAGTGCATAGCGACACCCTGTCTCAAAAAGACTGCCCCCCCAAAATATAAATAAATAAAAACATTCAGATCTCTCTGATTCCAAGACCTACTATAACCGAGATCAGGAATCTGAACAGTTTGACAGGTTAGAAGTGGGTAAGGCATATGCAAACACAGGCAGCTGCTTGTCTTGTAAATAAATTTTATTGTAACACAGCCTGCGCATTCACTTACACGTGGCTGGTTTCACAGCAGAGCTGAATAGTTGCATCAGAGATCATGGGGCTGGTAAAGTTTAAAACCTGTCCTAGCCAGCCGCTGTCAGTACATAGTCCAGGCAATGTAGCATTGACCAAAGGACAGATCTGGCCATCACTGAAACAAAACACAGAGTTCATTAAGAATCCCACCCAGGTGGAGCCAACTTTTGTTTGTTTTTTGAGACAGGGTCTCACTATGTAGTTCAAAGTGGGCTTGAACTCACTCTGTAGCCCAGGCTGGCCTCAAATTTGCAGCAATCCTCTTGCCTCAGCCTCCCAAGTGCTGGGATTACAGGCATGCACCCCAATGCCCGGCCCCCAATTATTATTATTATTATTATTATTATTATTATTATTTTACAAAGGCAATTTTATGATGAAAGGATAAACTTTGCAACAAATGTTGCTGGAAAAATTGAATTTCCATGTGCAAGAATAATAGCCAAAGTAATCTGAACTCCTGCCTCACACCAGACCCAAAATTGATGCCAGGAGGATCAGGAACTTTAAAAAAAAGCCAATCCATAAAACTTCTTTCTTTTACCAAAAAGGATAGGACCAGGGATATAGCTCAGTGGCACAGCGCCTGCCTGGCAAGAGCAAAGTCCTGAATTCAATTCCAGGCACCAAAAAGCAAAGCAAAGCAAAACAAAACAAAACAAAACAAAACCCTAACACTAACCCACACACACACAAAAAGGATAAACTTGATCCATTTGTAAGAAAATGGGGCCGGGGATATAGCTCAACGGCACACGCCATCCTGAGTTCGATTCCCGGTACCAAAAATTAAAAAAAAAAAAAAAAAACCCCCTTATTTTTTTTTTTTTTTTTGGATGCACCTTGAAACCTAAATGTTAAGTCAAATAAATCAGACACACAGCTTAAGTGTCACATGGCTTCTCTTATATGGGAAACTCAGTATAAATAAAGAGCGGAATAAAAACGATAGATAATAGGAAACAGGAAGACACTGTAGATCTTCTGCAAAAGGGAAAGGAAACAAGAGATGAAGCGGGGGAGGAGGCAGGAAAGGGCAGGGAAGGGAGGAAAAGCAGAATTAAGGAGTAAGGTGTGTTCTGTCCCGGCACCAACTCCCCACGATTAATGTGATCATTGCGTACAGCAAATGTGCACAAATAAAGTACGATAAATTTAAAAAAACGTTTTGGCGTCACTTGGGATTGAACCGAGGGCTGCTCTAACACTGCGCTACAACCCAGCCCTTTTCATTTCTCATTCTGAGACAGGGTCTCGCTAAATTGCCCAGGCTGGGCTCTAACTCATGATCCTCCTGCCTCAGCTTCCCGAGTGGGACGACAGTCTGGACCTTAGTTAGACAGTCCTCCTCCTGTCACTAGGAATGTTCTCTGTTGACCCTTGACCTTCCCTTTGAAGCCCTACGCAAGTGCCACTTGCCCTGGAAGGTGTCCCTGAAGAGTGCGGAGCTAGCCTCTCCCCTCTCACTGGATTTAGCCCCGAATTCCCCATCGGTACACAGATCCCGTGATGTTGTCTTTGCAGGGTTTGTTGTGACAGAGTCCAGGGACCAGGGCAGAGGTGAGGGAACAAGTCCCGGTGGGCGGTGAAGCGGCTGGACCACCTGGAGGGAGAGGAGGGGACAAAAATCCGTGTCCCCACAGCCTGAGGTTGGAACGGTCCCCAGTGCGCCCTCCTCGCATTGCTCGGCTGCACGGAGCCTCTGGGTCTTGGGCCGGAGCACATTCCAAACCCCAAAGGGAATCAGGAGATGCGTCTCCAGCCTTCCTTCTTTAGGAGAGGTTACTGCGTCTTTAAGGATCGCAAAAGGCGTCACTGTGACGTCACAATCACCTAGGCTCTGAAGACAAACCCGAGTTCTGGCTGTATATTGGCTGGTGACCTCATGAATATGTAGATAATCCCCCATCCACCTAGCTCCCATAGGCTCTGGAAAGAGAGGGGGTGGGGAGCAGGCGGAGCTGGACGGAGGGACTGAAACTGCCCGGCGAGGTAGGGGGTTTGGCGTGTGGCGAAGCTTTGAGGGCGTGGTCGGGAAGATTGGTTCCTTAGGTTCCCTTACTGTGTCCCCAGGACATGCCATGGCACACAGTAGATGCTTAACAAATGCTTACTGACGCTCAAGTCTGCAGGAGGGATGCCCAGGAATTCACATTCACGTTCATTAATTTTGACCTGCACAATAATTCTAGATGGCGCATTCTCCGCTCAGCCCCATTTTACAGACGGGAAACCAGGGCCTTGGGGAGAGAACGCAAAATTCTTGGGTTGTTCCGCAAATGCTGAAGACCGGGTTCGCGTGCTACTTCGTCTTCGATGTGACCCCACGCGCCCCGCTTACATCCTCTGGAAGGCCGAGGCAGGAAGCAACCCCGGAAGAGAAGAAGGGAGGGGGCGGCAGCGGAGACTCTGCAGGCTTCAGGGTCCGGCTGCAAAGTTTGGACTGGGTGGCTTTTGCATATTCTAGTACAGAAGCCGCGGTAGTTGCCCCGCTAGCTCCCCAAATCCCCAGCGCCCGGCTCAGCAGACAATCTACGCTCGATAAACGCCCGACGATTTGGGATGAGGGCTCCGCAACCGGCGCAGGCATGGTTCTCTGCTGCCCCCTGCTGGTAGCCTTGAGCTAATCCTCTGGAAAGTGAATTTTCAAAGTTGGTAACTCTTGCTGTCCTATGGCGTCCTCCCCGCCAGGAAGGGCTTCATAATACCTAGTAACCCGGCCACTTCCCTATCGCAACCCTGGGAAGAGATTGATCTGATAGTCTCATTTTCTAGAAGGGGAAACTGAGCCACAAGAGGAGGCAGCTATTGGTCTAAGGTCACAGTGCTGATAAAGTCATGACCAGGATTCAAACTGAGACGATCTTGTTCTAAACTCAAACATCATGCTTTTTTTTTTT